TATATGCATCAAGAGAGAACCTCAGGAAAACAATTTTCTGTGACAAAAACACAGACAGGTACAACAAGAATGTCCTCGGCCAATACCACGCTGCAGAGGTAGTATCTTTCCATAGCCCAATTAGAGAGGTTTATATCAGATTATAACATAACTAAACATTAACTAAGTTCCGTGAGTCAAGCATCTACCAGAATTCACATTTTTCTAAAGTACGAAATGGTTAACTTAGAACAGGGTTCTCAAGATATAGGCTCAGAACCAGCACCATCTGGAAACCGGATAGAAATGTAAAGTATCAGGCTCCCCACCAAACCTACCCAAATCAGGAACTCCTGGGCGGGCCCCAGCGATATGTATTTAAAAAAATTTTTTTTAACGTTTATTGATTTTTGAGATAGAGACAGAGCATAAAAGGGGGAGGGTCAGAGAGTGAGGGAGACACAGAATCCGAAACGGGCTCCAGGCTCTGAGCTGTCAGCACAGAGACCAACGCGGGGCTCGAACCCACGAACCGTGAGATCGTGACCTGAGCTGAAGTCAGATGCTTAACTGACTGAGCCATCCAGACGCCCCCGTATTTTAAAAGCCCTGGCTGATCCTGATGCGTGGTCAAGTTTGAGAACTGTAGACTCAGAACTCAAGACACCTCACCGGGACTTTACAGTGTTAGTTGGGGGTGCTGAATGGAGGAGTACAGTAGTTAGCAATCCACAAGGTGTAACTTAAAGGACAGCTAAGAGTCCTGCCTGCTCCCTGAGCTGGGCTAACAAGTCTCTGGATTTCTTAAAATCAGAGCAGCTTCTTTCAGTGAAGACTGTCACTAAAAAGTCACCATGCCCATTAATATGCCAACACTCATCATTTATCTTATTCCTTAGCTGTCACTAGACAGATAGCCCTAAAGAAAGGAAGGCATGATGTGGCATATCGTAAGACAAGTCAGGTTCAAAGTGGAGCAAGGGAAGGAGAGTCGCAAGCCCTCATCCTAAAGGGTGACAGACAGGTCCAGGTGGAACCCTATCGTGAAGAGGCTCCAGAAAGGCAATGGTGCTTTCCGCACACAGAGAAAGGGACACTCACAGAAATACTTCGTCATCATTACTGTCTTCAGCAGCACTTAACTATCAATTAGCTGAGAAGATGGTCTCCCTGGCTTCTTAGAAAAGAACGCCTGCCAAACTGGAAAGGTCGCTGCTTGCTACTGAGGAGCACTCTATACCCACTTTACACACATATGTGACGTGCATTCAAGCTAAATGTGGCCTGATATAAATTTGGGACTCCCTTCAGTGCCCCTTCGGTACAGCAGCAGCAATTTCCGAAGACAAAATCAACACACTCAGATCCCGACATTCACAATCACCTGTTACAGAATCTTACAGGCACACCTAACATGTCTTTACAATGTTCCCCCATGCTTCTATTCACAGAGCGCGTCAATAAGGTATTTTCCTGACACATGTATCAAAAAGTGTGATACTAACATTTAAAACGTCGGTTGAGGGGCGCCTGGGTGGCGCAGTCGGTTAAGCGTCAGACTTCAGCCAGGTCAGGATCTCGCGGTCTGTGAGTTCGGGCCCCGCGTCAGGCTCTGGGCTGATGGCTCAGAGCCTGGAGCCTGTTTCCGATTCTGTGTCTCCCTCTCTCTCTGCCCCTCCCCCATTCATGCTCTGTCTTTCTCTGTCCCAAAAAGAAAAAGAAAAAAAAAAAAAAGAAAAGCACAAGTCATTGATTCCTTGACGTCCTCCTCCTATAGGGAGCAAATGTCTACGCAACAGTCCGATCTTGTGTTGCTCTGGCAGCTGACAGGTGACATTTGAACCTCTAACCAACCGTAGCAAGACAATTCAAAATTAAGGTTGACACTTTGTCCTTTAACGAGTTCCAAAGTACTGCAGGGGTTTTACTGCCTGATGTTACACCATATGTGCAAACTCCAGACACAGCAGGCAGGGTGAAGCAGGACGCCTCTGTACTTTGCCATTCTCCCGCTTCCTGTTGTTTTTGGAGCAACCCTAACTTTAGCTAAACATAACCCTTCTGGGTGAATCATTTTCAGTAAGAGAGTCCGCCTTATAGCAGAGTACCCTGGATGCTGACTCTATTTCTGAAGCGCGGCCGTCTATGGAATTTAAAGAGCCCATTGGCTTGGGGTCTGGCAGTCTTTATGAAACCTATTTCGTGAAAACTTTCATAAAACAAAATTACTTGCCACTCAGGTTTTTATGAATAAAGCCCCAAACAATGATGGAATGAGTAACAGGAAAAATTCTTTTTGAAGCTTTTTTTTTTCCCCAACTAGCCGAATATTAAGTGATAGTGATTCATGCAGTTTTCTTTTTTTTTTTTTAAAGCTTTGAACTTTTTTTTTTTTAATTTGCTTTTTTTGAACGTTTATTTATTTTTGGGACAGAGAGAGACAGAGCATGAACGGGGGAGGGGCAGAGAGAGAGGGAGACACAGAATCGGAAACAGGCTCCAGGCTCTGAGCCATCAGCCCAGAGCCTGACGCGGGGCTCGAACTCAGGGACCGCGAGATCGGGGCTCGAACTCAGGGACCGCGAGATCGTGACCTGGCTGAAGTCGGACGCTTAACCGACTGCGCCACCCAGGCGCCCCGATTCATGCAGTTTTCAAAACCTTTTCCATCCCTCAAGCTGTTTTGTAATTCTAAACGCACTGTTACCTTGAGTAATGGGATGTATTTACTTACTTGTGCCCTCAAGAGGTTTGAATCAGAAAAAAAACTCTTTTAGGTTTTACATTCATAATTATTTTTTTGCCAGATATGAGAAATATATATGAGAAACGAGAGAGTACCAACTGCGAACTATATCCTTAGCTTAATGTCAGTAACTCTTGCCATGCAGAGTTCATGAAAAGCATGTACAAAGTGTGGGGAGAGAGGGAAGGTCCTTTTAAAAATACACATAACTTCTCCAATGATCTTTCCCCTGGAGTTTTCTGTAAAATAGAACATGTAGCTCTATATCATTCCAAAAAATCTATATGGAACTTAGAGAGGGAAGCATAAATCATGGGTCTCAGATTTACTTCCTGTTGCCTTCCTTCATTATACAGTTAAAGCTGATCAATAAAAACTGATCTGTCTTTGTAAGCATTTTCCTGTTCTCCCAGAAATAATTGCAGTCCCTGCCCTAAAATGAAGGCAAACTGAAAAGTAATATTTACTCTACTAATTTACTAATTAAGCCTATAGCTGTATCTGTAGCATAGTGGAATCCAGAGTTGTTCATGTTAAACTGATCTCTCGTGTAAAGCAGTAATCATTTATTTAGAAATACAGTTTAAGATTGTGCAAGGGTCAGTTTTACACCCACCGAAGAGTATTGAGGGCTCATGACAACAATGTTGAATCAAAAACTTTTCTACTTTTCTGGGAAGTCTTCAACTCTAAAGACCTGAAGATGCCAGTAAGACATATAAGAGGAGAAAAAGAAGCTGCCAAAGCATTTTTCCTGAGCCAAGTGAAACACAAACAGCAAATCAAGTTTATTCTTCAAGAAAAAAAAAAAAAAAATTAAATACTCCTGGCATTAACTCTATCTTTGAAATCTGTAGTATCAAAAAGTTTTCAAATTCAGGACTTCTATCTCAACTTTCTTGTCGTTTTACGGTATTACTATATGAATATCTGTATGTATACGGTAAGATCCCTGATGTGAGAAACTCAAGACCAAAGGGAAAAAACAGCTAAGCCTCCCAAACTGCCTCCCAGGGCAGAAGGAGAGGTTAATGGGACAGATGAGAACAAAGTTACCTTACCTCCAGTAGGGGAATAAAGAACTGCAAACAACTCTGTCATTTGCTTCAAAACGCAAGCCTTGTTTGCCCCTTGCATTTTTAGCTTGAGAACTTTCTCTTTCAAAATGTGACTTCAAAGTGCAATATCAAACAACTTGCAATAATCTGTCGGGGTTTCTTCAACATGCAGATTCTATCTCAGAACTACCCATTTTTTTTCCTTCTTCTTCTGGATTCTTCACAAAAGATTAGAAGAAAGCACCAAATGGGAAAGTAACAGACTTTTACTTTGTAATGAAGTTACAAATATTTTCTATACATTTTCCTGGCTTCCTATTTCCCTTCATTCTGTACTATCTACAGGTTGTCATATTTTACCAGGACGGACTATAAATCAGACAAGTTCAGCCCGTCAGTTTGAAGAATGGAGGTGAAAAGCGCAGTGGAAAATATATAAAGTATAATTAAAACCATATGACCAGAAATATTGAAGTAATACTTGCTGGAGGAAACCCAAGTAAAAATCAAACCTTTTTCTGGTGTTAGTGAGACTATGCAGTCCATTTTGGACAAGCAAACAGCATTTGCTATTTTTTTTTTTCTTCACAGCAAGAGCATCCCACGAAGTTAAATCCTAGTGAGATAATTAAGCCTATAGCTGTGTCCGTAGCATAGTGGAATCCAGAGTTGTTCATGTTAAACTGATCTCTCATGTAAAGCAGTAATCATTTATTTAGAAATACAGTTTAAGATTGAGCAAGGGTCAGTTTTACACCCACCAAAGAGTATTGAAGGCTCATGACAACAATGTTGAATCAAAAACTTTTCTACTTTTCTATGAAGTCTTCATCTCTAAAGACCTGAAGATGCCAGTAAGACACAGAGAATCTAATTGTTGACTGTTGAACAAGAAAAGCAGGAAGTTATGAAACCTGAACGGTCTCCCCTACTACATTATAAACAATCCCGATGTTACTGCCTCATATAGGTTGTACTTAGTGGGCCAATGATGTATATATGTCTAAGGATGTACAGAAATTCAGAGCTCTCAAAGGTGGAAAGCAATTCCAATAAAAATCTTTGACTTCGGCAGTCTATCACCAAAGCCATCCCACGCGTATTTCTCCAGAGCATTCCATGTGCCAATTATCAGGACTTCAGTAGACAACTGCAGCACGATTTTCAATATTGCTTTGGGATTCCGGGAAATGAGTCAAATTTAACAAGCCACTTACCTCCCAGAAACTGAATTCCTCCGGCCACTCTTCCCACTGTCCTGGAGATGAGCTCTGACACACAGCAACCCATGAGGGCAGTGAGGGCCACCAAGAGGAGGAGGCCACAACCCAGGCCTGTCACGACGGTACAGATCCTCCATTCTGCACTGGGGATGCCCTGGAAGGAGGCATAGCGCCCACATTCCTCCACCATCACCATCATCTGCCGGCTTTCATCATGCACAGGGTAGGAGCATCTCCGGAAAGTACCGAAGGACACCGGCTTGCCCAGCTGTGATCCCCAGAGCCAGTAAGGCATAAAGAACCCCACACAGGAGGTGGCAGCACAAAGAAAGGAGAGCAAAGCCCAGATCACCCCAGTACAAGTCAGGCTGGATGCCATCTTTTCAACAGGTAGGGCAGCGAGGGCCCAAAGTAACTACTCTGGGACTGCAGGAGTGAGTGAAGGCGTGAGACCACCAGGGAATGGCAGGCAATCCACGTTCTGTAACACGTCTAGCAACACAGTGAATCTTCAGTCTTACTGGCCATCAACTTCCCATCCTCTGTAATAAGGATGATGGTCCCTGGCAAAACAATAAGAAACATTAAAAGTTAAATGTTTTCAGGGAAGTGATAACACCAGCTCAGTTGGTCTACAACCCTTAGTTAATAAACATTCAAACTTGGCTCAACACTGCAAAAAGTGGGAAGAACTGATTGTCTCTATAAACGCTTCTAAAATTCAAGTTTTGTCAAACTAGCTCAAAGCTTTTTCATGTCTTTATCTCCTATAAATGCTCCCAAATTAACTCTGACAGTTATTTACTTAAAGAAATCCATGGCTTCTATTTGCCAAGCCAGTGAATTCATTTCACATACTCGCAGTAAAAGTAATGTAGCATTTTTACTGGCAGTAAACATAATTCCAAATATTAAAATAAAGTGAACCATACCATGGTTTGTTTATCTGGCTTGCAAGTTCATGCTTATAATTTGGAGCAACTTTTCCGTGTCCCTTTAGGTGCATTAACTCTGCATGAGCCCGAACAAAATTATTAGGATAATTTTCACAATTGCAGAGCACTATAAACTCAACAAATATTACAGACTGTCTAGGCACACAGACTGGATGCAACTATTAGGCACGCCCTGTACTCAGTCCGTAGTATTTGTGAATCCCTTCAGTCTTAACCACCTTCTTTCTCCTAGTGTAAATGAAAGAAAGCCTGTGTGTGACTTCCTTCTGATTCACTGGTTCCGACACAACGGCTGGGGACCGTCTCTCCCACTGAATGATTGTCACTGTCTAATCTGAAAAGTAATCCATACTTCCCAGTCTTCTACATGGAACCCCAGCCATTCAAAGAGTTCCACGCGCATTGACTTTCCACCCCCCCCCC